TCATTCTGGCACCTGTTCACACTTGAGAAGTGCTAAAAAGAGATCTTTCCTTAGTACCGAGTCAAACTTTTGTGTGGCATCCAAATTTGTAGCTGTGGATTCAATTAATTTTAATTTTGAATTGGAAGAGTACTTAGACAGTTTGACACAGAATTCTACAATTGAAGAATCAGAAATGTAGAGAAGTTAGTAATCCTTTTTGCGGTCATATGGAGTGGCCAAGTATTTCAATGAGGGGAGGCCAAGTTTTGCTGAATAAATAGTTCTCAAACAGTAGAAGCTTCTTGCTCACTTTAAATGTTTGACAAAAACATTTAAATTTTGTACTCCCCAGTGTCTCAGGGACCAAGGCTGATAGAGGTTATATCCCTGCAGTAGGGGTAAGGTAACTTGGTGAATTATATAGTCTTTTAAAGCTTCCATGAAGTAAAAACACATTATTTCTGTTCACATTTTCATTTGTCAAAACAAAAGGAACAGAGTTCGATTCTGCCATGCATATAGACTAGAAACTGTTGTTTTTGAAAAGCCCGAATGACTAGTAAACCAAGTTAGAGAAAGACCCAAATAGCTTGTACCTACATTCAAACAGGAACTCAAGAAGTTTCTCTAAAATCAACTACAGCCCTCGCTGGTGTGGCTTAGTGGATTGAGTGCTGGTCTGCAAACTAAAGTGTCACTGGTTTAATTCCCAGTGCAGGGCACATGCCTGGGTTGTAGGTTGGGTCTCCAACAGGGGGCGTGTGAAATGCAACCACACATTGGTGTTTTTCTCCCTCTCTTCCTCCCTCCCTTACCCTATCTAAAAATAAATAAATAAAATCTTTAAAAAAAATAAAATAAAAATAAAAACTATAAATTTTAATTATACACTAAGAAATTCTTCACTGTATCAATGTAGATATATAGAAAGTGGCTATATTCCTTCTGGTCTGTTAAATTTCAATAGCTATAGAAACAAAAATATTTATAATGGGTAATTTTTTTAAGTGTTGGTATAGACATAGTATAAATCATGTAAAAGCTTTCATTACTTATTATAGAGAAGTTATCTTCTATTGAAAAGAAACACAGAAAAAAATTCGTAACACTGTTTCTCCGCTCTTCTATAATCAGCTTATTCTTAAGTTCCATGGTAAAGACCTGTGCTATGGTCTTTATTTACTGGATACACTAAAATACAGACATTTTGACATTTGGGTTTTTCAGTATACTATACAGAACAGTTGCAGCAAGCGCTATCTTTTGCACATCCAATAGCTGCTTTCTTCTCCCTTCCTGTTAGAATCCTGGTTTTTGTCAGTGTTTATTCTTCCCACATAATATTTGGGAGAAAATCCTAATTGCTTGAATCATTTTCTAGTGTTCTATTTAACAATGGATATATAACCGTTCCTGACAATAAATCATGAAGGTGTCTTCTGGTGGATTTCTAAAAAACCTTTCTTCATTTTAAAAAATAACTTCAAACAGAAATTCTTCTTGCTGGATATTGTCAAGTCTGAATGGGATACCTGGAACTGTAACAGCTGTCTTATGGCAAAGAAATAGTTTAGAACAGCAGGCTGAATAAGATAGGCCCTTAAATTCACTGAGCTGTCTTTTGTTATGTAATACAATACATTGCCTGATTCTTTAAGCCAGTGTTTCTCAGATGCTGGTCTGAAACAAGATCAACAGCTACTGTCAGAATGTAAATTAACACACACTTTCTTTCATCAAGGAAGGCTGTCTACAGAGAATATAGATGGAGTAAATGGTATGGTCAGTGACATATCTAGCTGAATTATATTTTGGCAGAAACTTCTAATCTAAATCTGCAATATTGGATTATTTCAATATACATATGGTTAGAGAACCAAAATCAGCAAATTAACCTGGGAAAAATTCATTTATATTCACAAAACCTTAGAACATACTCCCTTTTAGTATATTGACTAGGAGGTCCTAGGGTTTGCTCTTTTTATGTAATTTTATCATACTTGGCTTCAATTCAATAATCCATTCAGTAACTGTCCATTGACCACTCACTAAATTATACATGTAGGATGCATGAATAAATAAAAGCTTCTCTGGTTTTAGAAAGATCACAAGCTGGTATAGGTGCTATGTAAGAAAATTAGTAATTACAGTACACACTGATGTCATTTATAAAGCTGTTCCCTGGGTGGGGTTGACTTCTGTTTAGTGTTTGGGGTAATGGGAGGAATCAGTAGGGAAAAATTTAACAGTAAAGGTGGCACCTAAGCTATGAAGGTGGCACAAAAACCCTTTGGAGCTGTGTGGCTGGCGCGACATGCTAAGGAGCTGGAATTTTACTGATGGCGACAGCTTATTATATGACTTGCATTTTAGCACTGTGACTCCAGATAGCTTTACATTGGTATGGTTGAAGTTGGAACTGTAGCTAGAATAACTTAAAATACCAAAAACTACAGAATAGCTTTGGGTTTAATTTGAAAAATTTATACCATGTCTGTTTTAGCTCCATTTCTTTTTTCCTTAAAAAGTATATAGGGGGAATGCATATATATACATAAAATTACGTTAATGTCCTGTAGTTATTAAAAAATTCAGGCCAACACAAAAAATTTATACTGGAGCCACATGCTTACATGAAATTGTGATGGTTAGTTTCATGTGCCAAATTGCCTTGGCCATGGTGTCGGTATTTGGTCAAACATTACTATGGGTACTTCTGTTAAAGTGTTATTCATAATGTGGGTGAGCTCGTCTGTTGAAGATCTTAATAGAAAAATATCCAACCTCCCAAGAGGGAATTCTGCCAACAGTGCTTCAGACTAGAACTGCAACTCTTATTACCCCATCAGATTTTGGACCTGTCAGACCTCCACAATCACATAACCTAATTCCTTAAAATGTTTATGTATATCCAGCTAGTTATTTCTCTGGAAAACCCTGGTACAAAAACTGAACACTTTCCCTCTATCACTCAATATGCTTACACAGTAAATGCCAGGTTACTGAAGCTTTTTTTATGGGGATAGGATGACCCACTCTTCGTCTCAGGATAGGCAAATGTTTTCTTCATTCATGTAAAGCAAGTTCTCAAATGTTTTGTTCTGGTAAGATACTGATTCTTGGCCAGAGCCACTGGCTATGTGACTTGCACATTCCTCCCATTTGTCTTTTCTGGGTACTGTAATACCCTCCCACATCCCAAATATGTGCATGGTAAGTGGCACCTCCAAACTGTCCAGTAGGGGTGAGTGTGGGTGTGCACTCTGTGATGGAACATCCTTGAACCCTGAGCTGACCAGCCTCCTGCCACCACCAATCCTGAACTAGAATAAGCAGGTTGAAAAATAATTCTCATTGTTTCTATTAATCTTTTTAAAATGTATATGTAACTCCCACCGATTTAAATGTTTTTGAGTCTTGGTAAATTTAATGAATTTTGCTACAGGAACTAAAATCTTGTTTACACCAATTAGCCTATGGAAAAATTGGTTTTGTTTGAAGCTGCAGAATCTATTGGTAATGTTAAGTGAGGTCTTAGTGTATAACCCCCATATACTTCACTATAGGAAGACAGATTTAAACCAGATGTCTTCTACCCATGCCTTGCAATCCCAAACTAACTTTTGTTGGCTCTTGATGTATTTTCAACTTGAAAAAACCCATTCATTTAGGACTTGCCAGAAAGCAACATATTTTTATATAGCTCATTGATTCTCAAAATATGAGGTAGGCTCATCCCCATATCCTCCCAGAAAATCAAGAGAGCTATATTTGTAATTTAAGGGCAAAGATTTGAGCCAAGAATTTAGAATCACTTTATGAAACCTACTCTTTTATTTCTACTTTTCCCAAAGGTAGACAGGATTGATGTTCCATAGAAAAACTAACCAAACACAGGATGACATCTGATTCATAAATGGAAAATCAAAAACAATGACACAAGTGCAGGGAATGGCTGGACATTTAGGTTAAACCGCATCCATTACATTTAAGGAGTTGCCAGGTGGTTACTGAAAAGTCTGAAATAGGCCCTCTCAAATAAGCTGAGAGAATAATAATAAATTAAAAGTTCTAGTAAATCAGTAGTTTAACATTATGGCCATATTGGAAATCCAATGTTATAGTGAGGACTGAGGGTGGCAGTTGTTTTGTTCTATGAAGGGATGTGTAGAATCACCCAGGACAATTTTTAAAGAATCCAGAAATACAGACTTTTATGTGAAAAATATTTGAATATTCTGGTTTTAAATATCTGTTTAAAAACAGCACTGTAGCCCCCCAATATACACCAAAGTCTGAGGGCCAAATAGGCCACCAGTTTACACCTCTGCTTTACAGGATTCTTGTAACACAAGGGATATTCCAAAAGTGACCAAATCAAGATAAAATATTCAGTAGCTATTTACCTTTTCCTTGCCCTGGGAATTAAGTCACTACTAAGTGGCAAGTAGCATTTCACTACTCATGTACTTTGATTCACTGATACAATTACTAATCAGGGCTATCTTTTAACCCACTTCTACTAGTCAAGGCTCCAGAATGAAATGGTAATTAGTTCCTATATTCTACCTCACATTCTGTTACATTCCATTTTAAATATTGTCCTTTTATTCAGTCTTAACAAGACTAATTTTGGTTAGTGGCGTATTTATTAAGACAAAAATTTCAGTTTTATGGTACAGTTCTAGAGGAAAAAGATTAATCTCTTGTATTTTAATCTGTATATACCACTCGTTTTCATCTTATCACTCATGGAGAAAAAGCAATTTACTCCTTCAAAGTAAACGGGAAGACTAAAAGTAAATCTTTTCTCCCCCTTTAAAGGGGAATTAGTATAGACTTAAAAACCAAATTTGCATTACTATTTATAACATTACTTACCAACAAGGTTGTGAACTGGTGATCAGTAACCAAATAAAATTCCTGAATTTAAGACCAAGAAACAAGATAAAATCACCAATGTTTTGGTACTGAAATAATATCCAAAGGAAAAAGTACACACATGCCCAATTATCACATTTTGTATTTCAGAGAAGAGGCATTAAGGATTCATGCCATTAGTTTATTTACAAATACATCTAGTATGTTGAGTTCAACAGTTTGATCCATTTTTCAGAGACTGCACCTCCTAAAATGCTCGTCTTCGTATCTATGAATAAAAACACAAACAAAAAAATGGTATTGAAAAATCCCATTAACCGAAATCATGTAGTTTCATTTATGTATTGCCTATACTTCAGCTTGGTACATCAGAAAGCGTTTACAGTATCATAATTTCATTCATACTGATCTGCTTCATCACATGCACCAAAAATCTTTCCATATTAATGGCTTATATAAATCATTTCCCTTCTAAACTATGACAAATAAACTACTTTCCAAAATATACTTTGGAATCTACTCCAATTATCCCACAGAGCTTCCTACAAGTGTCATTTTGAGGAAAATTTGGTTACAATTAAGTAAATAAATCTTTTCTTCTCACACATTACTTCCCAGAACACAAGACTCCTCTGGGTATACACTAACATATATTGCCCTTGAGATGGACTAACAATCAGTTTACTAGAACTTTCCTGATTAACAACTGTGAGATCTGGCTAAAAATCCTGGTCCACCGCTGACTATGAAATATTGTTTCTCAGATCAGGTTACTATCATCCATTTCACAAGCATACTAGGGAGCTACATGAACTTATTGTAAAGTGTGCCTTACAAACAATAGTACTAAATAAACCCTGGATTTCAGGTAAAGAAACACTTGTTTCTAGGTTATCAAGCTGTATCCCCAAATGCCACATATACACATACCTTCAGGAACCAGCTCTATATGCAAAAACATATTTGTAATTTTGGGGGAGGGAGGGTAATTTCCTTTTTTTCTTTTAAGGGAGGAGTGGAGAAAGAATGAAGAAAGAAAAGGGAAAGCATTGCTTTGGGAAGATTAGAAATCCAATAATTAATTACCTGTTTCATGGATCCTTATTTTTTAAGCAGCTGGTGTCTTACTATAAAAAAAGGTGCAGCAAATCCAGATCCAAAGTACAGAGTCATCATAGCTAGTAACCGCCACTTGTTTTCCACCGAAAATGGCAAATTCTGTTGGGAAAAGAGAACAAGCAACAAAAATGGACCTTCAAATCATCTAATTTTAGATAAAAAATACATACACAAAAGATGTTAGATTTTCTTTTACATAATCGGGTAATATGTGTCATATATCATAGCACCTTTTAAAAACATTTCTCTCTCAAACCCTGTAACTTTCATCATACATAACACTAGAAAGTAAAATTCTTTATAAATATTTATCTGGCTTTACTGAGCGCCAAGAAGTGGTCTTAAGAACTCAGGTATAAAACAGTGAACAGTGATCGAAAGTACTCTCCACAAGTAATTTTAGGAGCAGAATACACTGCTCTGGTTCCCTATCAAAAACTAGACACCTTTTAAAGAACGCACATGTCAATGTGTGATTTTTTTTTTTTCCCCATAACCAAGCAGCCCTACCCTCAAAATTGTTTCTCATGCCTTTACTACTCATACCTCCCATAACACTCGCAGGATGTTACTACTAACTTAAGCTATTCATACTTGAGGCTAAACTCAACCTCAACCAGGGAGGGTTAACACGATTTAGTCAACTAGTCAAAGACGACCCACGACCACAAGCCCTCATGTCATTAGTTTCCAATGACCTTCAATCCGAGTCTGGTGACCTTTAGTTCGGCTTTTCAGACACAATAACCGCCGACAAGGTGTCCACAACTCCCTGTAACCCCTGCCCCAAGATGGAGTGGGAAGCAGGGCCTCTAACTCCACCAACTCATTCCTTTCCTCGACTAAGGGGCGCATCCAGGGTGCTGAGCTTTCTCCCTGGGTGAAGTGGAATGCTAGTCGGCGTCTCACACCAAATTCCAGGCTTACCACACACCTTTCCAAAGAGCTCAGCGAGTCGCAGCCAAGTGCCCCCACCTCAACGAACCCGGGCCCCTTACATACTAACCTTCCCTGGACCTTCCTCATAGTGGCTCCTACGGACCACGGAGGTTGTGAACCTCCGAATGCTCCGTCCCCACATTTTGCTGTTGAAAGCCCTGAGAAACGGGCATAAACTGAAAGCGGAAAAAATGGCGCTAACACCCAAAGTCCTTTTTTCGCGACCTTGTTCCCCTTCGTGCAAGTACGGGAAGGGAAGACGGGAAATGGGGCAGAACTCTCGGAAACCGCGATAATGTGGCTGTCTCTGTGTATTGTGGGAATTGTAGTTCAGAACGTCGCGTCTACTTGTTGGCCCTGATGGATTGTGGGAAATGTAGTTCCCCCGCCCGTCTCAAGGAAGGCCAGAACCCGCATTACTTCTAGGAGCAAGGGTTGATCCGTTCGCGTCTGAGTTATTGTAGCGTTGTTGACAGGATTTTTAGGGTCTGTTTCCCAGAACGAATTTTACTCAATTCAGTGAAGCAGTTTCACCGCGTGTGCTGTAGTTTATGGAATAGGAAAATAAACCTTTCCCTTTTCGTTTGTTATGATTGTATACTAGGTGTCTGTGATTTGCAGTACTCTGCCTGCAATGAGAGATGTGTGCTATCATCTTACCTTAGGAAAAAGAGCATAAGCCCAAGTAACCAGTACAAAGGATGTTGTTGGTAAGAAAACAGAGTAGAGTGCTAAGGGAAAGCTTCCTGAAGATACTGGGAACTGAATAGAGCAGAAACTGACGGAGAGCAGAGAATACTCAAGGCCAGGATGAGAATGGCGTGTTCGGAGCGTGAAAGAGAAAAGCAACCTCTGATATCCGGAGCTAAACTGGACTAAGGACTGAGTGTTCCCCTGTTGAACGTAATCAATTTCACAGAACATCAACATCAGACAAAATTATTGTGTTGGTGACGGATCAAGAAAAGAGTAAGAGCACTGTATTATATCTGAACGTAGACAAAACATAAACATTGTCACAAAAGTGATGAAATATCACTGTGTCCAGTCTAATATGATGACTTCTGCCTCATTATTTACAACCTTAACCTTGAATTTATCCTCCTCCTTCCTAAGATTTAGTAAGACCAGGAAAGTCACGGAAAACAAGTTCAAATTCTCTTCGTCCTAGCAGCTTACTAAGATACCCACAGTTCCTCGTTGTATTCAGGCTTTTTACTACAGTGAGTAATAAATACAGTTTGTCCAATTATATGTATGTTCCTGGTAGTCTTTGACTAGAGGGAAGAGTGATAAATGAGGCTGGGGAAGTGGTATGTTAGATTGTGGAGGGCCCTGGTAATCGAAGTTTTATGTTATTCATCTGCATCCCCATAGGCCCTGTAGCAAATTAAAGATAGTTGCAACTTCTTGTATCAAGATTGGGTCTCTGCCTTCTTTTCCTGAATCTGGATGGACTCTCTGTGACAGTTTTGACCAAGAGAATTTGGCACAAGTACTGCTGTACCAGTGTCCTGCACAGACCTTGTAATAGTGGTAGCTTCCTTTCCTGTCTTTTGGAACGCTTGCCCTTGGAACCCTGAGCTTTTATGTGAGAAGTTCGACTAGTCTGCTGGGAAGACCTTAAGAACCTACCAAAAGGATGTGGGGATTGGCTGAAGTGTCAGGTATGTGAGGAAAGCTATACAGGACCCTCCGGCCCATGTCAGTTGCCAGCTGAATAGCGCTGAGTGACCCCAGGCACTGCTGTGTGCAGAAGAGTTGCCCAGTTTAGCTTTACCCAAAATGTTGATTTACAGATTTATGAGATACAATAAAATGATTGTTCTTTCAAGTTACTATGTTTGGAGCAGTATAAAAAATAACTGGAACAGATACCTGGAAGTAACGTTGTTTTATTTAGGGAAATCATCTGCCATGAGAAGACACAGTTTCTTACTAGAAATCTGTATAGTTAGAAATTAAGCTATGTCATTTGAAATATTTATCTTAAAGGAATGTTTTTTGTCAAAAGGCCAAATTGAACACAAAGAAAAAACTTATGTGAATTTCCATATTGTTTTTCTTAATTGTTAATTAGTAACCAATTAATAAATTAGCTAAATAACTAATGTGCCCTGAGTTTAGGGGTTTTATGCTAATATTAATCCCTTAAATTCATTATGGAGAATAAAAGAAGTTTAAAGAAATCTCACAATATTCCATTTTTGAATAGATATTGTGGTATATTAAAGATGGCTATAATTTCTTTGCAGCTCTTCCAATGGAAAGGTGTGGTCTAATTCTCCTCTAGACCTTAGTGACCTGCTCGACCAATAGAATGGAGCAGAGTGACATTCTGAGCTTGTTAGTCTGGCTTATAAAAACCATTGCAGTTTACATTCAGGCAACTTGGAATGTTTTCATAAGAGAGGTCAGCCACCATGTAAGAAGTCTAACTACCCTGAGATAGCCAAGACTAGGAGGAAGCCCAGGCTAACCATTTGGAGAAGCCACTTAGGTGGAGAAGGGGAGTGGGAAATAAAGGTAAGAGGATGGGAGACATGCCATATGCCTGACCCCAGCTGTTTCTGCCATCTGCCAGCCCAGGTATCAAAGATGTGAGAAGCCTGTAGGTGACTCCAGCCACAGTCGTGATTCACCTACGCCTACGCGAAGTATCTTAAATAAGAACTGCCCAGCTGAACCCATCAGCCTCTATAACTATAAGAGAAAATAATAAATTGTTGCTTTAAGCAGCTAAGATTTGGGGTAATTTCTTATGCAAGAATAGAATCCTGGAACAGGTATCATAGACAATTTCTGATACACATAGCCTAACAATCTAAATTCAGTCATAATAACACACAAGAAAAATGTGAATCAACCTAGAGAAACTTCTGTTGCAGCATGATATTCTTTTTCTATAAAATAAATGTTAAGAGAAATGAGACATTTCATGGATTGGTACAAAACAGAAACATCTTTAGGGACATGAGATTTACTCCAAAGTTCTATTTAAAAAATAAAATCCAATTATTTTAAGTAGTGAGTAGGGTGTATATCATAGAGTGAGCAATGTACTTTCTAGACCCACATGAGTCTTTGGAGACTGAAATTATACTTCATAGAACAGTATATCTAAAAATTAAAGTGCTGTGTTTGTCATTTCTTGCAAAAAGTACTATATTAGATTTTTAAGAACTAGGTTAGAGTTTATTTAAAAACATTGTTTAGTGAAGAAATTATATGGTTCTATTATACTTTGAAAAACTCAACAAGTTTTTTATGGCCTTAAGTTTTTAGAATTTCCTGCTACTGTAGAATTAAAGTCAGAATTCCATGTTAACTTTTATTTGAAACTTTACATTTATAGGAGGGGAAAAAAAACCAAAACAAACTTTCTTTTGGGAAATGAGAAAATGTGATTCCACTGAAGCAGTTAGCATTGGAAAATATTCTGCCAGCTTTCAGAGTGATTTAGTGATGACCAACTGGAAGAAAAGTTTTGCAAACAATAGAAAAAAACAATGCTTACCTGATCAAACTGTATATTTTACTCTTTTTCCTGTTTTCGTTAGTTTTGAATACTGTTTTCTCCTTAAAGAGAATTTCATGTTTCTAATTCCAACTTTATTGCTTAATCTCAATGTAAGTTTAAGGATGATTCACTTTTTTTTAGATTAACTCATAATTAAATTACTTGCCATTGTGGATTGCCAAACATAGAAGATATATTTTTACAAGATGAATGCAGAAACTAACATTTCTCAATTTGAAAAGCAATCATTTTTGTTACACTTATGTTTTATCTCCATCTTAACTTGCAATGATACTTGTTATCATCACTTTGAACAAGTTTCTTTAAATTCATTATAGCATTTCCTGCTTGTTTCTGTTACTGGAATACTAAATGATTAATAGTTTAACTTATTTACTTTAGGGAAACATAGTTTACATTAGGAAGAGAATTTTAAAAATGAATTTCATATATCGTTCTAAAAAATCCTTTTTTATTTTATTATTATTATTTTTTTTTGTTAAAGCAGAAGTAAGAAAAGCAGGAGCTATTTGAGAGTAGAGCCAACTCACATATGATGATTGTTAAGAATTGTGCAAATAAGGAATATCTAGAAATCTTGATTTATAAACAGGCCCATTGTTGCTGATCAGTGCATATAACGGTACTACTATATTTCTACCATTTAGGTGAGATTGCAGGAATCCAATACAAGGCGCTCCATTCCTCCTGGCAACTACATAGTTAATACAGTCCATCAAGATGTGTGTGTTTATGCTATAACAGTTCTGTATTTGGCTTTTCAGTTTAGACTTATAATTAAGAAAAATGGGATTTACTTGAGAATAACATTTGTGCACTCTGAGTAAATTATTACTGAATTCATCAAACAGCTTTTTTTATACATTCAGCTAATTATAAAATTATTACACAAGGGTGTTAAGTTTAATTTCCAGTTCTCTTTCTATGCCTCAATTAAGCTAGACCCTTACTGAACAGTGTTCTAAAACTGTATCATTATCCCTGAATTGTGCTTAGCATCTTCTTACCACTTTGTACTAAGGGATTTTTATAAATAACAGAATTATGAAACTCATTGCTGGGTTTACTGTGAAGACTTTTTTTTATCCTTTGAGGATGTGTTTCAATATATTTCACTTTTGTATCATTTTTATGAGGACCCACAGGAGAAATTTCTTTCTCATCTTAGAAATGGAATAAACGCATTTTTCTGGGTAGCTGATTTGCTTTCGTCTTACTAATACTTTGAATAACAGTCTTCACTGTGATTCTTAATACTGGTTCCCTGAAAGCTTGGAGCCAAAAGGGTAATCCACCTTCAATGGAGAGGATTAATATATTTTGTGTACTTTACCCCTGGTCCCATCTTCTTTTCAAATTTATCTTTGCTTCACTTTTCTCCTCAATTTGAAATTTATTTTATTTTGTTATATTGTTCTGTACCTCAGATGCTTTGTGGAACTACATTAGCATGCAAATAAACTAATAAATCATAAGTTTTCCCAACATAGTTGTTGTAGTGTTACACTCGTGTATGTTATGTGCTGCTGAGTCAGCTCCAATTTCTGGTGACTCTATGAATGAGTGATGTCCACGATGTGCTGTCCTCTACAGCTCTGATCAGCTCCTATAGACTCATGCCTATAGCTTCCTTTATGGAGTCAAACATCTCATATTCAGACTTCCTCCTTTCCTACTGCCTTCCATCTTTCCTCCAGCATTATCGTCTTTTCCAGAGAAGGCCACCTTCTATAATA